TCCCTACAGGTGTTGTTGAGGTGGGAGGATGTGTGGGTGTGTTTGCTGACAAGTCGTGGAGACACAACGAGATAGTGTTATGGATTTTGAAGGACTACCAAAACCTTGTGTGGGTTAAGGAGACTATTACCGTGATGCCAAGAGGAGCAGGGTACGTTGAAGCTTTGGGTACAATCCATACAGGTGAGCTAGCCCTCGCGCTCCATTTTTATGGAAATTTACCGGGATTTGAGAATGGACCACCTCAATTGCTTCTTTATGATATGGAGAGCAAACAATATAGAATACTTGATTTCATTTTTCCTAATAATATGGGAGTTACTTGGGGAATACCGTTTAAGTTAATTGCTAGTTATGATGATAGCATTGTCCCCTTAAAATGAGATGCCTTAATTATAGTTATATCACCAATTCCATGGAAGTCTCTATTTCTGTAATTCACACTACTACAATTTTGTTAAACTACACCCAATAGACAACCCTTTATATAAAAACTATCGTGGTATTTTAAAAGACCACACCCAATAGACGACCCTTTATATAAACTACGAATGTTATAAAACCGTCGTGGTAAGGTACCTAATACACCAATGTGTTGGGTTAATGTGTTGGGTTGATTTTTAAAATTACGACGATGCCTTATTAGGATCGTCGTGTTTTTAGGAGGCACTAAACAAAAATTCATTTTAAGTTCGCGAGCGCGGACCATTTCAGAAAACCCTCGCTCGCTCAAAACACTACTATATCTCAAGTTCTCTCATGAACCTTTTAGAAAACCCTCTCTCTCACATCGATGAAGCACATCTCCCTCTCATCGTCCACCGAACTAGCCCAGATCTCCATCTCCGTGGACATCGAGTTCGACGAGATCGCCATCTCCGTCGTGCCGTTCAGTTGACCAAGCTCGTCGCATTCGCCATCTCCCTTCCTTGTCGCGACCATTTTTAAGCCCCCATGGATTCCCATCTTCCATTTTACGAGCTTTAGATTAGATCTTCTTCCTCGTAGACCAGAAAGGTACGAAGCTACTTTTCTAGGGTTAGCTTAGGATTCTTCTGATTTGATTTCAATTTTTATTTTTTCTTGTTTATTATGGTTGTTTGTCTGAGATATAGGGTTACGGTTTGTTTGTTCTTTAATTTCGGTGCGTATTGACATATATACGATTTGTTTGTGGTTAGATCTGACTTGATTTAAGCTGTATATAGTTCAACAGTTGCATTTTCTTAAACCTTTTTGCTTTTATTTTGTTCAAAAATTCTAGTTCATATGTTTTTTTTTTTAACTTTTTAGTGCTTTGTTGTTGAGTTGCAGGGCCTGGAAAGTTGCTCTGGTTTTAAGATTATGTAATTAGATGAGTTTCTTGTTTGGCTTGAAATCCTAATCATGATTTTGGGAGGCTAAACATGTATAAAAATTAAAAATTAAAAAAAAAACGAGATTACAATAAGACTATCCATTTGTGTAAAAAAATTGGTACTAAATGGGGCTCTGCTTAGAACTCACAGATAATCTTAAATTTAACTTGGGTTTTGAATTTCTCTTGTGTTTGCAATTGAATGTCTTGTTTTTATTTTTGGATGTGCATTGTGCAGGTTTTACGTTTGCAGAAAGTCCACGCTGATGTCAACACTATCCATGAACTCAGTTGTAATGTCAATTGATTTCTCTAAGGCAGTCAATGAAGTCCACCTGAGCTTGAGTGATCACTCCTCTGCTTATTCCAAGAATTCTCAGGTTTTACATTTGACTTACCATTTGGCTCTCATTCTAACTGTCTAATTTGTTTATTTGGCATCTGCAAATTTGTTAAAATCGCCGTCTATGAGGTAATTAGGCGATGACATAACTCGACACTTGCTGCATTTGTTAAATCAACTCATGTTTCCGCTTTTCCCCCATGAAGTTGAAACCATGGTTGATTGTCTTACTGCATTCCCCATGCACAACAGCTACAAGTATCATTACATGGAATTTAACAAGTAATTTTCTAATGCATAATTTCTGATTTAATAAAATCTCTGCTCCCTGAAACAAATAAAGAAAAAGTTATCTTGGTTAAAAAATTCCTAAGCTCCTCTGGCTTTTGTGAATCAACTGAATTGGTATGACAAATGATTCCTAAAAAGTTTCTCATAAAATATTCATAAATAGTTGAGATGACAAATGATACTGAAAGCACACACTATTTTGGCATTTGTACTTTAACTAAGTATCTTCAGCATTGGAGCATGAGTATCTGGTTTTTTATTTGGCACCATATGGATTCAATTGTTAGACTTATAGTCTGAATTCAATGTTAGTATCTTCCTTGTTTTACTTGTATATGTTTAGCTAGTACTGGAATACTTTATGTGAGGTAGATGGGGTAAGAATTATGGTCTAAGCTTTAGATATCCTCACTTTTCTAGCTGCTGCTTTTTCTCTGATTATGATTTTGTAGGCTACTTTTTGCCCAGTTAGGCCAAGTCATTGCCTTGTCTATTGTAATGATCCGCTAAAGTGATGTAACAACTCATTTGCAAGCTTTTCGCGTGCAGAATGTGAACAAGAACCAATAAAAAAATTGTGAACAAGAAACAATTAATTGACTGGTGCAGAATGTGGATTGGAGAGAAAGGCTGGCGCTGCAACATGTCAAATCTCTTTTCTCAAAAGAGGCAAGTTCAACTTGATTGAATCTATGAGTTATCTACATGTCATTCATATAAGTGCTGGCAATTTTTATATTTTGTTGAGTTTTCTTTCTAACCAGTACATTGATTGGATCAACATTTAGGTCATTGATGTAATTGCAGCCAACACGAATGACATGGGGCCTTTGAGCCTTGATTTCTTCAGAAAAAACAATTTGTCAGCTTCATGGAAAGTCATTGGGGAAAATACTTCAATTACAGATAAGGTTAGTACGTCCGTTATGTTTCTTCTTGATTTTTTAACCATCCCTGATAAATCTTGTGTGCTACTGCTGCAAAAATGTCAATCGTTTGTTGCTTGCTGCTGATTGTTTGCGTTTTGGATTGTCTGTATAAAGATAAATTTTACAGCTATAGATTCTAGACAAGAGACACCTAAGGTTAAAGTGGATGTATCTTCAGGTGGTAATATCTTTTCAACATTACTTTCTGTTGTCCGTAAAACATTTCTGCTTTCTTTTTTATTTTATTATGATTTGCAGGTGGTCATGCTCAACTTGTTGATCCTGCAAAACTAGCCCGACGGGTAATTATCATACTCCAGTGTGCTCTATGTTTTGCTTGTTATATGTTTCTTTTTTTGTCAAAGCTTGTTATATGGTTCTTGCTTGCTTGAAATTGTCTAATCCATGTTTGCAAACTCAGAATGGAAATGAAATAAACTGTAATTAAACCAAGGTTATGTTTACATGGGCATGCTCCTGTTTATTATTTTTTCTAAAGGTTCTAATATGTGCTTTTATAAGCACTTCTGCAGCAATTAAGAGAGAAGAGACGCGAAAAGTGTGCAAATGAGTTAGAGTTATCTTATACAGGCTTCCTCCAACAACCATGGTATGAATTTTCTGTCACAAGATACTTGAAATATTCCAAATCTGTATACTTATATCCAGCGGCAGATCCAGACTTTCTTTAAAGGAGGGGCAATATTTAAAAGTCTAAAGCTATAAAAAAAAAAAAAACCAAAAAAACCTTTATTTCATAAAAACTATCTATTATATTGATTGATTATGGGCTAAAAGGGTTTTTGTTTGTTGTATAATCTTCTATTATATTTTTCGACCAAAATAAAATATTATATTATATTGAGATTTCTAAATTTTTAATAGGCAACATTTTGATTTTAACTGGGCTAAGCAATAGTTTATTGTTGTTTCTTTTTGGATTTAGTGTAGGTGACGATATGATTTTATATGACTTGGGTAGTGGGCCCATTGGGGCAATTTTGTATTTCCAATGGCTTAGAAACCAATTTTAGTGAAACACTGTGTTTCATTAAACATAATGAAACCAGACGATGCCGTTTCAGAAAAAGAAAAATTAGGGTATTATGTCTTCTTCTTCCTTCGTGAGGCAGTGCCTCAACCTCCATTAAGAACGCTTCTGCAACCTGTCATCTGCTAAATCAGTGGCACCATGAGAACTTGTGAGCACTACGCAGTTTCGGCGAGAGGAGGTGCAAGTGCTCCTCCTTGCGCCTCTGTGGGTCCGCCACTGCTTATATCTCAACTTTTGGAGTTAGTCAGCATCTAATAGGGAATATAGTACTCTTACTCCAGGTTGGCATTACTCTTACTCCAAGTTAAGTAATTATATTATGTAGCCCTGTATTAATAATCCTTTCATTATTGGTAATGTTATCTAGATTATATATCTCACTATTACATTATTTTGGCTTGTTGAGCAGATTCCTAGGCCATGGAAGTGGATCTAACGAAGCTACTCCTAGTGGTAAAAGTTGAAGAAATGCATAGGAAAATTGGTGATGATGAATGTATAGCTCTATATACATATGGAGAACTGGACTTGAAGGATAATGAGGTATAGGAATTTTGGTGTATTATTGTAATTAGGCTTGCAGCTTGTAGCTCTAGAGTATTTTCATTTTTTAGATTTTATTTTGTTCTATTGTACTCTTGATATTCTATTTATGAAAGAAACAATTTTTTAGTATATATATGTATTCTGTGGTTAATAACATATTTGAGTATATATTTCTGATACCATAGGAAACAAGAAAAAAAAAAAACTAAAATGTAAAATTACGTCAATTTTATAGTTAATAACTGTCATCTTAGAGTTAATAGACGACAATATTTCAAGAAATCGTTGTCTTTACATTTAATAGATGACGGTTAAGTAAACAAACTCAACGTCTTCAGATATAATAAACGGCATCTTTATATAATAGACGAGAGTTTTTTAGAAAGAACCGTCATCTTTAAAATTAATAGACGACGGTTCTTTTAGAAAAAGTGTCATCTTTACATTAATAGATGACGGTTATTTCAAAAAAACTGTTGTCTTTACATCTAATAGACGACAGTTAATTACCGTCGTAGTTTAACATTCAAAAAGATGACAGTCGATTTAACGACGGTTTGAAAAAGAAAAAGACGACGGTGTTTTTCCGTCATCTATTTCAATTTTTGTAGTAGTGTCATCTTTATAAGTGTGCTTGTTACAATATACAAATCTGTAACTCATCTTTATAGAATTCAAATTATGTAAGTAGGCATTGACCTGATTTAGCAGACTGTTGTTTTTGTGTTCATTAGCAGATTATGATCAATTTGGCAACAGAATGTAATACATTATACATACATGCTTGCTCAGTATCCCAAGAACCTTGGACAAGTGAACATGCTCTCTCACTCACTCCTGCCGTGCTGTGTTTAACAATTTGTTAAGGATTTATAATGGAATAATAAAGGCATTTGTAACAATTCATTCATCCATTATTTCTTTTATTCTTTTTTGGGTCTTATTTGTTTATTCATTTTGGTATTTGATATATATATGTAAATTTTTAGTTTAAAATAATAATAACATAACTCTCTGACGTGCTAAGGTTGACAATTTGTTAATAATGAAAAAATGAAATAATAAATTTTAAAAAAAAATTGCCATGCATGAGGTGTCAAACGGGATAGGCCAGCCCAGCACAGCACGAGCTCAGCCCGTTTAAATAAAGCATGGCACGGCACGAGCACAAATAGTAATAGGCTGTGCTCAGCACGGTAAGAAATCTTGGGCCAGGCCAGGATGAAAAATGAGGTCCAATGGATCGGGCCGGTCCACAGCCCGACATGAGCCAAGCTTGGCCCGAACCCACTTCAAGCAAGGCACGAGCCCAAGCACGGCTCACTTAACTTTTTTTTCCTTTCTCAAATGTCAAAATGCAAAATTTTGACATATAATATAATTGTTTATATGGTTTATTTATTTATTTATATAATCATAAACATATATTTAATGTCTTTCATTTTAGGGAAATTTCTTGGATCCTTAATTAATTAAACATATCAACTACAAATTAATTTAACAACATTAGACTTGATATCTAATCAGTACATATGACATATACGCTTCTCTTATAATCAAAGCAAGACATTTCTTCACATATAAAATAATAAGTTGTTTAAAGATGAAAAGTTGAAGTGGACCTTGTGGAGTTGTACACTTTTTGACCTCCGCCTTTTATATTGTTTGGATGTTTGATTGATTAATGTTTTCAAATAATTCATCATTTCTTGCCTCTAATTATATTTTTAATGTTTATAATTTGAATAATCAAGTGAAAGAAAATAAATCAAGTGAAAAAATTCAAATTAAATGGGTTGGTTCTTGGGCCGAAGTATGGCACGAGCACGAACACGGGCACAGCCCGGCCTATTTCAATGTGGACATGAGCTTTGTGCCGGGCCAGAATTAATGATTTTACTAAATGGGTCGGCACGGTATGACACAAAAACTTTAAAAGCACGAGTTTAAATGAGACTCGCTGGCCCGGCACGGCCCGTTTGACACCTCTAGCATGATGTCCTATGCCACTGTTTCACCAAATTCTTCTAGAAACATTTAGCAGCTAGAAAAAGGATCCAAAACCTTAAAAAAAGAAGAAAAAGAAAAAAAGAAAAAGAAAACAAGGTATATCTCTGGCCGTCCACGTGGGTGTATCCTGTGGAATGTGCGGTATCCGGAGGCTTTTGTAGGGTTGTCGACTGTTCATTCTGTAAAAGCAAAGAAAATAGAAAAGAAGACGATAACGAAAAGCGAAAGGGGGCGCTTCTTCTTACGGCGGCCGCTAATTTGGAAGCACGATCAGGTGACGGCTTGTTTTACTCTTGGTCACGTTTAAAATATAGATCGAATATTAACATTCGTGCTTTGCTTGTGGTGGCAGCTTTATTTTGTTCTTTATCATTTAATAATTTAATGTTAAATCTTTCTAGATGGAATATTATTATTTTATTTATGTATTACGATCAGGCTTTGTTCTTTATCTAAATCTAGATAGTATAAATATTCTTGTATTTATATGCATTTAAATCAGTGAAGAAGAGAAGATGCTGCATTTAATGTATATAAATAATAATAATAATAAATATTATTTGTTCTTGGGCTTTTTGGGAAATAGCCTAAAATGCCATCCATTTCATAATTTTAACTAAAAATACCACTCATTCCTAATTTTTTTACAACTACCACATATAAATATAAAATTATTGTCCACTTATTGTTCTCATATCAGTTTTTCAGAAATTGGCTTCTCTCTCTAACTCTCTTGGCTCCATCTCTTCGGCTCGTCTCTCTCCCTCGTGTACCTCTCTCTCTTCGATGCAATTGTCTTTCTCCTTCAACGGTGGCTGTTCATCCAAGTATAACTCCATCGTTGACATCCACGAGGTACAATTCATAAACCTTTTCTTTGAAATTTGGGGTTTTTGTGAATTTGGTTTATGGTGTATGGATTTGTATGAAATTGGTTTAGGGGTTTCTTCCAAATTGGTTTAGGGTTTTAGGGTTTAGAGGTTGCTCTGAAATTGGTTTAGGGTTTATGGGTTTGTATGAAATTGGTTTAGGGGTTTCTCTAGAGTCTAGGGTTTGGAATTGATGAGATATCTGATATGGGCTTCAGGTTTCCCTAATTTATTTTTCTTTATTGTGATTGTGATTTTAAGTAAGGATTGGGTGATGAGTTTTTATTTTGGGTCATCTGATATGGTTTTGAGATTGGTATTTTTAGTTAAAATTATGAAATGGGTGGCATTTTAAGCTATTTCCCATGATATATTGATAAACACAGTCACAGTGCTCCGCTCTCTCTTTCTCTCTGCTAGCTTTATGGTTTCTTTCTAGTTTATAGTTTTATTAGTTTATAAAC